ATATCGGCTGCGATTGATTCAAGCGTGACTTCGTCAAGAGGATGGGTAGGACTTAGCCCGTGCCCTTCGAGATCAAAGAGGTGAATGCTATAAGACTCAGCTAGAGACAAAGACGAAATGAGCGGGATCCAAGTCTCCAGTGACCCGCCAAGCCCGTGAACAAATACGATATGCTCCTTGCCTGATCCAATCATTTTGTAATGCAGTAGCTTGGAGTTGATCTTGGTCAGAGAAGAGGTTCCGTTGGCTGTCTTGGACACGTTGATGGATGTAAAAGGTGACTTCGTCCAAGGCGAACTGAAATCCGATTTTGAAGCAATCTTATTCCGCAAAGTGCCCAGGCCAGTGACTGAGATTGCGATCTCATCATCTGACTTGAGGTAAACGGGGGGGTTCCTCCCGATGCCGACACCAGCAGGCTAGTTGAAAATAACCGAATATTAGTAAAGAGCTGATTAGAGAGGCAACAAGAGGAAGAACATACGGTGCCTGTGGCAATCACATCACCGGGCTGAATCGTCTGGCCGGCACTTATGGTGTTCAGAAGAGTTGGGATTGAGAAGATGAGGTCATCTGTGTCAGCATCTTGACGAAGCTCGCCGTTGACATGAGTCTGAATGCGAAGTGTCGATGGGAGATCCTCCTTAGGAACAGCAATGGGGCCCTGGAAACCTAGTCAGGAAGCTAATCTAGAGCCCAAACATTTGAAGACACTTACGATGGGACAGAATGTATCAGGCGATTTGCCAATGAAGAATTGTTTGTGATCTCTCTGCCTTTCTCTTGCTGTCATATCGTTGATAATGGTATATCCCCACACGTAATCCCAAGCGTCTTCCTCCTCGACCCGGAACCCAGGCTTTCCAAGAATGACGCCGATCTCTCCTTCATAATCCAATGTTTCGGAGAATTCAGTATGAGGATAGATAGCGTCGCCATGCGCGATGATGGAGGTGGCCCGCTTGGTGAAGATGACAGGATGACTGGGACGGTCGACCTTATCGGAGCTGTCGAAGCCTGAGCTGTTGAACTCCTTCGCATGTTCCATGTAATTCTTTCCTACGGCCAGAACATCGCGACCGGAAATAGCAGGGAGCAATTTGGTGGATGAAGCAGGAAATGGTGTGCCTGTTGCGGTGATTTTGTCGTAACCGGCCTCGATAACTTGGTATAAATCAGAGATGGGCGTGCCAGATGTGAAAGAGAGGGGCTGAATGGTGTTTTTGTCCAAATCAAAATGGCCAATCCGTGAGAGGCCAGTCTCAGGATCAACGTAGGCTGCGTATTGAGTAAGGCGAGACGACATGTCGGCGATCTTTGTCTGATCAACTGAGGTGGTCTGATGGCTGAACTACTGACGACCTCAATTCCAGCGTGATATGTTTGCGGCTACGGGTGACGGTATGCTTGCGCTGGGAAATCTTGCCAAAAAAAATCTCCAATACCGAATTCAAGAAATGAAATGACGTCAAATGTCGAGGCCTGTACAATGGCCCTCTTGAAGTTATCACCAAGTCTTCTTTGTTGCTGTTCTTATCTGAGCATTGTGCGGGGAAATCAGAAGTGGTGCATGACGCAAGTTCGACGCCAAAGTTGGAGATTTGGCTGCATCTGCCACTTCTCCAAGTGGAGTTTGTCTGTCCCTGCCTGTCGTTTATTAGACTATTTGTGTTTTACGGTAATTTCTGTTCAATCGACACATTTCAACCGCTTCCTCGATACTATTTGAATTTGTGCAGACGGTATAGTGAAAGGGGTATGAGGCATAGCGTTCACCAGTCTCAGCTCTGAATGAGAGCTGTTAAGCGTCGGGCACCGTTGCTAATTAAAGAGGATTTCTGGTCATCAACACGCGAACAAAAATACTTGTCAGATTGAAGTTAAAGTAATAAAGTTTTTTACAAATGAAGGTGTCCAAATTGTCAGGAGATGGTCTTCTCACCACCCGTAACATCTGCCAGGCACCAGTAACAGTGAATCTCCCCAATCCTTGGGAAGCCTAACATTGCGAGCTGAACAAAAAAAGCAGTTTCTGGCGTCGATGGCAACCAAGTTCATTCTCTTGAATCTCTAACGAGTACTTATCCATTTTCTCGCTCGGCTTAATACCTTATGGATTTATACTTGGCTCTGACGATAGCAGCCGGTGCCTCCAATCCGTCTTGCATCCTTCGAGGGATCTGTGGCTTAGGTGTTTAGCACGAACACTCTGTTTAACCCCTTTAATGATGTTTAATCATTGATTGCAGATCAGCAACTGTAGGAGAAAGGGCTTAAACAGAGGGCGACAATCGCGGGCACATCGCGCCAACTTTTGTCAGTTTCTCAACATGGGGTCTCAGTAGCAAGCTTGACCCTCAATTCTACCCATCGCTCTCTGGTAATTTCATGGTTTTAACAAAGCATTAATTTTTCTTTTTGGCACTGTCAGAAGTACACTTTATGCATATGATATACACGCAGACGACGAGGGAAAAAGGACGAATGGCAACTGGTCAACATCGATCAAAATTACCAAAGGCACGTACTTGTCGCGGGAGGGAGTACCTTGTTAGTGAATACTGCCCCACTAGCTTCACTCACTCACTTATCCCTCCACATCAACAAACACCCAGCATCAAGACATCTAACATTGACCTCACAAATTTGGTGTAAACTCGGGAGTGGGCAAGATGGCACCATCGTCACGGATCACACGCTCCAGTGCACTGTCAGCATCAAAGAAAATATCATCACAAATTCAACTCGACGTCGAAAGCTCCGACGTCGCTGTCCAAGTGGCAAAGCGCCGCCCTGCACGGAGGCGGGACGCGTCTGAGAGCGACGCCACAGCAGGAGAGGAATCTGATGAACCGGCTCCAAAACGACGAAAATCTCAAGCTCAATCTAAAGCTCAGTCTCAACCTGTGAGAATGAAGCGCAAAAGGACTGACACCAGCAACGCGTTACACCAGCGCCTCTTTGGTCCGAATGGACCATCAGCTCAACCGCGATGTCTCCCTCCTACGCGACGCCATGATGTAGACTATCACCGTCCTGCTCTTCTTGACTCATCTTCATCACGTGTCGCCCTTCTTTCCTGGTTTGACGCCGTAAGTACCAAGCGCAAAATGCCTTGGCGCAAAAGCTGGATCAACCCTGAGCACCACCACCAATCCCCTTCCGAGCTGCGCGACCTGCTTGAGCGGAGAGCCTACGAAGTCTGGATCAGCGAAATCATGCTGCAGCAGACCCGTGTTGCCGTTGTGATTGACTACTGGAACAACTGGATGGCCAAGTGGTCGACTATTCATGACCTGGCCGCTGCCGAACCTGAGGATGTCCTGAGTGCCTGGCGGGGCTTGGGATACTATAGCAGAGCAACTCGGATCCATGAAGCCTCGAAACTTGTTGCGCATGACCCCGAGATGAAGGGTCTCTTGCCTTCTCACGCAGAACATTTGGAGGCAAAAGTCCCTGGCGTAGGACGGTACACAGCCGGTGCCATATCCGCCATCGTTTTTGGCCGCGCGGCGCCCATGGTTGACGGTAATGTGCTGCGCGTGCTTAGCAGACAACTGGGCCTTTTAGGAAATGTCAAAACAGACAAATCCATCATTGATACCCTGTGGGCCGCTGCAGATGCTCTCGCGAAGGCCGTGGCAGGGGATGATGAGGTGAGCGATCGGCCAGGGCGATGGGGACAAGCGCTGATGGAATTGGGAAGTACTGTGTGTGTGCCAAAACCCAATTGCGCTGAGTGTCCCATAAGTTCGACATGCCGAGCCTATGGTGAGGGGAAGATGCTTGTTTCAGGAGAGAAAGACGTGGTTGGAGACATTGAAGACTTGTGTCATCTTTGTGAGCCTTTGGAGGAAGCAGACATAGACGCAGACGCAGCAGCGAGTGCTAAACCAAAACCTGTTGTAAAAAAGAGCAAACAGATGGACCTCTCGGCATTTCTCGCCAAAGACTCAGCTCCAAAGAAATCTACAAAGTCGAAGGATACTCTGAGCAGTCGAGACATGGAGACAATTGTCGAACACGCACGCAAGTTCCCCGTCAAGGTCATCAAGAAAGCTGTCCGAGTCGAAGAGGCACTCGTATGTGTCATACGCCGTCGTGACGGCCACTACCTCATCCAAAAACGGCCCGAAAAGGGATTGCTTGCGGGACTCTGGGAATTTCCAGGGCCAACCACGGAAGCCTCAACTGACGGCACGGCCAAACGACGGCGATCAGAAGCAATCGCCTTCGTATCGGAACTAGTTCATGGGTCCAGGACTAAACATGTCGGCGAATTGGGCAGTGTGCCATGGCTATTTTCGCATATCAAGCTGACCATGCACGTCCATTTATTTACCTTGGAAGACGGACCAGACTGTCTCGTCAATGGGGATGAGTCTCGACTGAAATGGGCGTCACCTCACCAAGTCGAGAATGAGTCGATGGGCACAGGAATGAGAAAGTGCTGGGTACTTGCAAAGGACTATGAAGATTGAGCTTGTCCAATTTCTTATTCATTGATACGGCCTCGGGTCGAGAGGATGTCAGCCAACTATAAGTCCTTCGTGGCATTGAATACCCAGGGGAAAGTGGCTTAGATGTGCCGCCCTAGCTACCCAATAAATATAGCCATCCCTAAATACCTAAATGTGTAGGGACGATCAACATAATGTCCGCCATGCTAGTTGACGCCCGGGACCGCTACCACGCTCGCTGTCATTGTCGTAGTCGCTTCGGATGGCGATTTGTGAGCGTGCATCCGATAGGTACCTTGGTACTTTATGGTGAAGCTACTAAATTCCATGCGACAAGTCGCAAAGCGAAAGCTGGTGGAGATTCTTTAGGCGAACGACTGCGAGGCCGAATTGCCAAAAAAAAAAAAAAAAACCGAACAAAACAAAACCCGCCTAAACCAGCAGATGTTTGAACGAGTATTGACAGATATTGACAGAATATTGGTTCCAAGGAAAAAGAAGAAGGAAACAAGAGAAAAAAAAACCAATGACAAAAAGATTTGACCAGAGTGAGATTCGAACTCACGCCTATTACTAGACTGCGAAAGTCGTCCTTAGTTGATGAAACAACCTGAACACAGCGCCTTAGACCGCTCGGCCATCTGGCCTTTGATTTGTTAGAGGGATTGGGGACAGTTGGATACTTAACGCATCTGCACAGTTTGAGGGGAGCTCGAAGCTGGCCAAGCCCAGATATTAGCGCGCGATGTGGGCGCGGACAGGGATCCTTTGACGTGGAATATAATTATATAATTACACTATACACCACCGCTGATCGACATGTCTCTTTATAAAATAACTAGACTCTACTTTCTAGTCACTGCACGGTTCATGCGATTTCTTCCTAAACGGTGCCTTTTAAAAATAGATTTAACGAAAAGCCTAGAACACCTCACGAAGGACGGGACTGTCTTGGGATACAACCATAACCACAGCCTACTTTGAAACACAAAATTTAACTTGAATATATCATATATCAGATCAGTTGATACAGAGTTTACAGCTGCTATTTGCGAAGTGCTGCAATGTAGGTATGATGAGACTGGCGTAATAATCAATTCCCCAGCGCTCAATTCCCGTCGCCCACCGATTTAGGCTTCTGGTTTTTGCTTGTGTTTAAAGGCCGTTACATTTTGATTGAAAGTTGCAAGTCTGGCCGTTAGAGGTCCAGCTGCCCCCCTTTACCTTCTGTCCAAGAATACATTGGTTGATGATGTTCCTATTATGATTAGACAAGGTGTATGCATCCTCATAAGCGCTTTTTTCTGTACGTACTCAGTAGCATCCTGTGGTCAATGTTGGTTACACAATCATCATATCAAATAGATGTAGGGGGTACATATTATACCCAGCAGCTTGCGAATCCCTTGTGACCATCAAAATTGTACTGTTGGAGGATAGCAGTCAGTGTATGTCGGAAACTGTCCTTTATTCACTTCAGCGGTCGTTGTGCATGCTTGTTGATAACCATAATCTGGACCGTTGCCACACATGGCTTGGCGAGCAGCCCAGAATGCATCAACGCCTTCGCTCATGTCAACGTCGCCTTTTTCAAATTTCACACATTCGGCCGCAAAGGCTGAGGAGACAAGAAGAGCCAAGGCTGAGAGGCTGACGAGCTTCATGTTGAATCTTTAAGATGGATAAGAAGACTGATAATTAGAGGAACGGGGAAAAAAAGATGTCGAGAGTCAGCTCTAAGGAAAGGGGCTCAGGTGGTGTTTATCCTTTATATATCTTGCTACTTAGTCAATCAATGCTTTGGCTTAATTTATTCACTCCTTGTCTCCAGATTGACATGTAATGTAATTGGACCTATTCCATTTCGCGGATCTTACATGTTCACCCGTGACTAGCTTGTTACCACACCTTAACTCTTTTTTTAACTCTGATTTCTTGACTCGTGGCATTTATGGATTATTGCTCATCTCTGTTCCATCTACACACATTGGTACAATTTGTTTAGCAGTGTCCGAGGTAGATGTTGTGCCTGCACTTCACTGACAGGCCACCCAGGAGCTGTGGACTGGGCCAGCCCTAACTACCTGGAAAAGATGTTAGGGAAGAAGTCTTAAGAATCTCTCAAGCATGGCTAAGGATTAATATACTTTCTTGAAAAACTAGACAGAATATTTTTGCCAATTCGAACTTGGTGCTCCTTTCTGCTTGGATTGGTGGAGAAGCAATATCTCTAAATCCCACCGGCCAGAGGCATACTCTATGATATTATTAGACACGCTTTATATACCATCACAAGAACCTGGAAGGTTATTTGGCGTTGGGCGAACAAGAGGGGGCCTCTATCAGCCACATCGCATTTGGTAATGAGGAAGGGAGCCAGGCACAATTGTGAAACCACCACGTGGTTCTCGTTCACTCCCTTGAGTCAGGCCCTTGCATGCTCACAACCCCCTTCACAAATCCTTTTGTCATCCAGCCACCTTTCATTGAAACACAGGGGAGATCGAAGGCTAATTATCCATCACTTCCCTGACTTCTTGGTCTCATCGTTGGAGAAGGGGCGGATAGGAATGATCCAGACTCGTACTCCAAGACTACCACGGCATGCGAGTTGCAAGCCATTCTGAACCCATCCATATTGTCCCGTCATGTTTCCTAGTATCATACAGACATCGATCTGATTTACTTCCGTGTTCATGTTTTGTTTCAAGTCTCGCTTCCTCCGACTCATGTTCTCGTTTTGCCCAATGGACGATGGTTCTAAGAAGCTTAAGAAGCGATTTAGTAATCAGTTCCCAAAGGCCAATTGTAACCATATCCAACAAAGGGTAACAGGGCAATATTATAAGGACTACATCATCATATAGTTATGAAAGTTACCCGCGTGAAAGGGCTCTGAAAGAAGAATAAAAAGAAAACATGCAAGGGTTCTCAAATTCGCAGTGGCGGCAGGTCCCGAATACATCCAAAGAGAGATGCCGGACATGGATAAAAGAAGAGGTCCTGAGCTCCATGTGTAATTTTCTGGGTCATGTCTCGGCTCTTCTCACACCATGTACACATTACCGTAATGGTTTCAAGTCAGTACCAGCCATCCGCGTTATAGCACTAGCCACCTAAGCCATGAGAAACATCTTCGCGAGTTATCCTTCGGGCTCCCAGGCCGTCATTCCTATCCTTATCTCCGTTTATGCCCGCAAGACTCCGTGAGACAGTTTCACTGTGGACTTCCTATCCCAAAAAACGCTTGCCGAAACCTCGGGATGTACTGGGATCGCCTACACTTCACGTGTCCATTCTCTTATACGCTTGGGAATGAGAAGCCGTGTGAGAGGTCTCACTACATATGAATCTGACTCACAGTGTGGTACGTGAGCTTGCTTGAAACCTGATTTACTCAGATACAGGACTGATGCTCAGGGTGATTGATGTGTATGTATAAGAAAACCTGAAATACCCATCCGAGATCTCCAGAATCATGTCCCCTACTAACCTGAACCCATTGCCAGCCACGCTTCCTTAGCACCCGGGCCAAAAAAAAAGATTAAGAAGCAAAAAACAGTCAAACACATCCGATTTGGGAACCGGAATTTGATCATGAAAATCGACGAAAAAATAATCGTATCCCATTCGGAGTCTCGGACAAGCCACGAAGATGATATCCCGGATATCGACCCGAAGACGGAGAGTCGAGTCATCAGAAAGGTCGACCTTTGGGTGCTCCCGGCGCTATACATTGTTTACATGTCCTGCTTTATAGATCGAGCGAATATTGGTAAGTGAGGGGGTGATCGAGTCGAGCCATTAAAAGAAAATTTAGTGATACCGAAAGGAAATGGCGTATAGAATGCGTGCTAATGCTTCACCTCACAGGAAATGTCAAGGTGGCAGAGATGCCAGAAGATATTCGAGCATCCGAGGCTCAATTCTCCACGGCCATTTCTGTCTTCTATGTGACCTACGTCGTTGTCGAAATCCCAGCTGTCATCTTGGTAAAACGATTTTCGCCACGGTATGCGCTATTCATCCCTTGTATTCTGTGGACAGCGGCGACAATTGCGAATGGCTTCGTGTCCAACGTCGGAGGTCTGTACGCGTGCCGACTTGTTCTCGGCGCCGCGGAGGGGGGCCTTTTTCCGTCGCTGAACCTCTACCTGACCTTGGTTTACGACCGCCATGAGATTGCTAGACGCGTTTCTTACTTGATATCATGCGCGGCGCTGTCGGGATCGATTGGAGGGTTGCTTGCGTATGGCATCCTCCAGATGGACGGAGTCGGTGGATATCCAGGCTGGAGGTAGGTGAATTTTTGTGTGTCTGTTTTCTGTTACCAATTTCACACCCTGGAGTCTGATAGAGCGTTGAATATAGGTGGGTGTATATCATCGAAGGAGCAGCCAGCATCGTCTGCGTGTTTGCCGTTCTGTTCGGAATGCCAACAGACATTCGCAAAGCATATTTCTTGAATGCCGAGGAGCGGAAAGTCATGGAGTATCGGCACGAAAAGCGTACGGCCTACATGGGCGAGGACGTCTTGTCATGGGAAGAGATACGACTTGCCTTTAGAGATGCGAAAGTCTGGCTCAAGTAAGACTCCCTCGGAAATCACGAACTTTTGCCCATGACCGGCCCCTTGCTAACCAAGTACTTTTAATCATCTCAGCTCTGGGGCTCAGTTCTTTCAAAATGTCGCTACATTTGGCTTCCTCTCCTTTCTGCCGGCACTGTTGAGCACGATGGGGCATGACAAGTTGGCGTCAAATTATCTGACAATTCCCATCCACTTGTCTGGAGCGATTGCATTCGTGGCCCTTGCAGTCATCTCTGACAAGTTTCAGAAGTGCGGACCAGTGAGTTGCCCCCCCTCGAATTCCCTCCCTCCACGGCGTCAAGCTGCTGTGATGGTACCCTGTTTCATAGCTCACAGAAATCCAAACAAGATCATTCTCGCGACAAATGTTCTCGGTATAGTAGGCTATGTTGTTTTTCTCACTGTTGACAGCAATGCTATCAAGTATTTTGCTTGTTTCCTATGCGCTGTGTCCGCGTACAATGGTACTGGTATGAACTTGGCATGGCTGAACGTCAATATGGCGCCGCAGTACCGACGTGCCACGGCAATTGGCATCCAACAGACACTTGGCAACTCCGCGGGCGTCGTTGCCGGACAGATTTATCGAAAATCACCCTATGTGCTCGGTAAAGCGGTTTCACTGGCATGTGTTTGTATTGCAAGTTTGCTGGTGGGATGCCAGCTCGTGTACCTAATGAGGGAAAATAAGAAAAAGGAGATGATTATTTCGGGGCTTCGGGAGGACACTCGAAGCAACAAAACTGGTGATCGGGATCTGCAGTTCCAGTACCGTATTTGAATGATTGGATAGCTTAATGGCGTCAAATTGACCCAGCTCTACCTTATTTATGATATCCTCATACCAGGAACTTGTCTGAATGTAGTTGACTAGAATGATGAACCTGGAGTCTACGTCAATAGATAGAATCTGGTGGTCTCGCCCTGGCCCAATTGACGGATAGATCTTGGCCTGCAATTATCCCTCAACGGGCATAAAAAGTTTTGTTACATGAAATTTCCGGTTAAATGATGTAGAAGTCGGTGATTGTTATTCGTAAAATGCCATAGGTATTG